TTTTTCGAGACAGGGTTTCTCTGTGGCTTTGGAGGCTGTCCTGGCCCTTGCTTTGGAGACCAGGATCTCTCACAGAGATCCGCCTGCCTCTGCCTCCCGAGTGCTGGGATTAAAGGTGTGTGCCACCAACACCCGGCTAAGCAGGTACATTTCAATTGGAATGAATACTGACACATTCCTTTCCAAGGAAGCTTCGGAAATTCACAGTCTCCTTTGACTCAATACCTCTAGGAAAAGTGAAACAGATGCCTTTTCATGCTTTTTTTTTTTTTTTTTGACAATCTGCACTTTTCTATTTTATGCAAAGCAGACTTGGTTCCTTTACCCATTTTCTTTTTTTTTGGAACATTTGCCTTAGCTCTTTTTGTGTCAAAAGTTTAGAAACTTCTGTTTTCCAGCAGCTATTTAATTTTGCTATATTAAACTAGGACAAACCAGAGAATCTAAAGTATCTTCCCCTTTACCCTACACTGGTTTTCCTCAGGGTAGTATATACATGTTCTGTATCAGAGCTACCTGTGGGTATGTCAAACAACAACAAAAGGAGACTTCTTTAGAACTCTCCAAAGAGAATTTCTGGTGATGGGTATCAATGTAAGCCATTCTAACACTACTCTCTCTATCTGCCTGGTTCTCAGATCTAGAGAATTTCTAGACCGGCATAATCCAACAGAACTTTCTGCAATAACACAAATGTTCCAGATGTGAACAGTCCAACACAGTACCTACTGAATTCTTTAAATGTAACTAGGGCCGAGAAGTGAATGTTTACACTGGAGGCTGCCACACTGAGCCTGCTGCTCTTGACTGTTAGCTACATGAAACCTGAACCCAACCTTCATGTCTGCCTCCCTTCTGTGTCTAGTTCAAAGTAACCTGCACATGAAAAACGGCAGCAAGAAAGCCTAGGCAATCACTCATTGGTTAAGGTTCTTGGTATACTAAGAAGTGAAGAGGGGATGGACAGATGGCTCAGTGGTTAAGAGCCACTGGCTGCTCTTCCAGGAGTCCTAAGTTCAATTCCCAGCAACCATGTGGTAGCTCAGAACCATCTGTAATGAGATCTGATGATCTGGTGTGCAGGCAGATATGCAGATAGAGCACTCACATATAATAAAACAAATAAATCTAAAAAAAAGAAATGAAGAAATGCCATAATTCAAGTTATTAAAATGTGGTATGCTGTAATATTTGCCTTGCACTTACAAGCTGCCTTACTATCTTACACTAATTTCAGGATTAAGCTATTCAACCACTGAGGTAACTGGTATCTGATAACTACAGATAGTCATCACACTCAACCACTCTCTACCATCACCTATATAAATATTAAAGACTTATTAAGACAACAATGAATCTTTTTTGATCTTTCATGTCCTTTCTGTTAAAATATACACGTGGAAACATATGTACTACAGAACATGATCAGACTACTAATCTGTGAGACAGAATGGAGTTATAAGCAGACTATGGTACATAGAGAATTATTCTTTGAAATTCAAGCCTCCTGGATGATAGCATCGAGAGAGTTGAAACTGAATAGACTGGAGGACTGGGGATTTGTTCACTATGATTTCATTTATCCTTCTCCATCAGAAGAAAAAGTGGAAGGAATGTCATCCCGCAGAGTTGCAATACTGTTGAAACTTCTCAGAAGATAACTCATTGTTCCTGCTCTTATTGAACACAGAAGAACTCATTAGGCACAGTCTTCCTAGCCTGAAGTGAGGGCAGAAGGCTACAGTTTATGCATTAGATAGCTATCATAAGCATATTTGCCATTTATTTTCCCCAAACAACTGAGGACGGCTGCAATTACACAGAGACTTCATACTTTTTTTAATTTATTTTTTTATTTAAATTAGTAACAAGCTTGCTTCACATGTCAGTCCTAGCTCCCTTTCCCTCCCCTCCTCCTCCGCCCTCCACCAACCCCACTAAGCCCCCACCCCATATCATACATCTTCGGCTCCCCAGGGAGGGTAAGGCCCTCATGGGGGATCTCCAGAGTCTGTCATATCATCCCAGACAAGGCCTAGGCTCTCCCCCGAGTGTCCAGACTGAGAGAGCATCCCTCCATGTGGAATGGGCTCCTAAAGTCCATTCGTGTGCCAGGGATAAATAGATTGTCGAGGCCTCCTTACTGACACCCACATTCAGGGGGTCTGGATCAGTCCCATGCTGGCCTCTCAGCCATCAGTCTGGGGTCCTTGAGTGCCCCCTTGTTCAGGTCAGCTGTTTCTGTGGGTTTCACTAGCCTGGTGAAACCCTTTGCTTATCACTCCTGTCTGCAACTGGGTTCCTGAAGTTCAGTTCAGTGTTTAGCTGGAGACTGCACGCATTTATACATGATTCTGGGCAAGCAAAACCCAAACATGCTTGGATCAGGCAACAAACTAGAATGCAGATATGCATTTTTCCTCCTCTCCCCCCCCCCCCCCCCCCCCCCCCCCCCCCCAGCCCCTATGAGCCCAGGGCATTGCACGTGTTAAAGCAAATCTGAGCTACATTCCTAGCCCAGAGCTACAAATGAGCTTCATGGCAGCCAAGTTGAAAAGAGGAACCATGGAGTCGTATGGTTTACACACACACACACACACACACACACACACACACAGACACACAGACACCAGTCACTCAAGGCGAGTCACTTCATGATGGTTGGCTTTGAAAATGTCGTTTGGGAGATTTTCTGTGGGGAATGCAAAGCCACCAAGCCCACATAAGTCTTGCAGGACAGACATTCATAGGTTCTGGGGGGCTGTTTCTTCTGGGGAGGCACGATACTTGCCAAGTTGGTGCAACACTCACGGCAGTTGGTGGGAAGGTTTGTGAGCGTGGGTTCAGGACAATATGGACAAGCACGCTTTCTGTGGGACCAGCTAGCGTCATGTGCTTGGTTAAAGACAGGTACACACTGTTCAGAATTCAGTAATATCAGCAGATGGGAAGTGGGCTGACAGCTTTTGATGAAGAGTTAGCCACCTCATGTGGGGATTATCAACTTTATATGGCCATTCCTGTCTCTATGGTGGTAGTTGGGGGGCACAGGTGAACTTGGAATTTTCATAAAACCAGGTGTCCAAAAATAAGGGGGGGGAAGTGTTCAAGTTTTATACAGTAGAGCAGAAGGTCTGTAGATTCACAAGTTCTTTTCTCCTTTTTAAAAGTTCACATTAGTTGCCAATATTTAGAGATGAATAGATTTCAAGTCTGACAATGCTGGATGCATCTATTATACCCCATAGCAAAATCTGCTAAGTGGGGTAGAGATCAACCCATCTGCTGGAGCTATTTAGGTACTGAAATGCTCTGTTGCAGGATGAAGATTTGGATTAAAAAATTTTTCAAGAAAATATTGGTATAGGCATTAGTACATTAGTATTAGCATATGCATGTGTATATCTCTGTGAGTGTGTGACTACAGAAGTTTAGTGTCCAGAAGAGGGTGCTGGATTCCCTGGGACAGGTGTTACAGGCAGTGAGCTGCTCCATATGAGTGCTGGGAACCAAACTCAGATCCTCTGCAAAAGCACTACGTGCTCTTAACCCGAGCCATCTCTCCAGCCTCATTGCTCACTCCTGACTGTAAAAATCTGATGGGCTCTTCCACAATGTATAGCTATGAGCAAAGTGACTGCTTAATAAATATACCTGGCAAGATCACATACCAAACATACTCCTTGGTGAAAAAATGAACCTTAGGCATGAACTGTGTATGTCATGTTTTCTAGCACCCTTCCATGCAAATAGGGATTACATGGCATGAACAGTGACGGTAAATGGGTGCTAGCACTGGGAATCCTGGCTTGATATAAGACTTACTGATTTTGTGAACTTGAGCAGTTACTTCAACTTCCTGTGATGTAGCTTCCTGGTTTGTAAGTATTGTAATTAATATTATCACCTACGTCAACGGGCTGTTATAAAGATTGGAATGAGCTGGTGATGTCTGTAACATCCTGAAACAGAAGTAGCACAGGGGCAGGAACTGTGGGCCTGGCATGTAAGCATCATTATTACAGTAAATGCTACAATGCATGGGTGTTACATTAACAGTATGGAGAAAGAGCATTTAAATCATCAGGACTCTGACAGAAAGTTTCCTAGGAAGGGACTCTCTGTCATGGATCTAAACCTTGGTCTAGTAACTGTTTCACCCTTATGTAGTCTGCTATGGTATGCCTACACCTTAACAACAACAAAAAAAACCAAAACAGCACTCAGAAGGCAGAGGCAGGTGGATCTCTGTGAGTTCGAGGCCAGCCTGGTCTCCAGAGCAAGTGCCAGGATAGGCTCCAAAGCTACACAGAGAAACCCTGTCTCAAAAAACAAACAAACAAAAACCCAAAAGCAAACAAACAAAAAACACAAACAAACAATAAAAAAGTCCATTTATGGCAACTAGCTATCTACCCTCCTGTTTACCTCTGCTCCAAATGAATAGCTTGCATAACTGAGTGATAGCCATAGTTATCTGGACGCAAGTAGCACAGCTCATACTAACTCACAAGTGTTTGGTGAAATAGCCTTAGTTGGATTTTTAAGGATGCAGTTATAAACAGTGTGTGATTTTCTCTGTCCCTTCCATGTGCAACAGAGACTCTTCTTTCTGAGTTGGGAAGTCACAAATCCTTGGGCCACTCTGGATAACTGATGCATCTCTCTTTATAGGTGATACCAGTTATATAACTGAATTGCATAACCATGTCTCCCACTCCATGTCCCTGCCTGGAAGCCCTGAGTAGCTTTGCTCACTAGGCATTTGTAACTGAGTGAATTGGTGTGCATATCTCTGTCCAGTGAGTGGTGTGGTAGTTTCCCATTCTCACCTTAACAAAACATGTGAAATGACCATGTTTGTTCCAGCTCACAGTTGCAGAGGTTTCAGTCTGGTTTCCCTGGCTCCATTGTTTTAGGCGTGTGGAGTGACAGAATGCATGTAGGAGCAAAACCACTCACCTCATGACCAGGAAGCAAAAAGAAAACAAAAGGCCAGATTCCCACAATCCCTTTCAAAGGCACACATTTTAATAATTTCAGGACTGGCCACTAACCATCTCTCATCAGTCACAGGCCTGTGTTATTTGGCTGTTTGACATTTTCCTCTAACTGTTGATGGCCCCTCCATCAGACCATAGTCACAGTGCTTAGTCTGTGAAGCAGCCTGACAAACTGTGTGCTTCTTTTCTAGATAAAGGAGACTGCAACATGACACTGTCACTTTTATTGTTGACTGTGGTAGTTTCTCATGGCTATTGTGGTAAGTTAACAATTCATGTTAGCTCTCTAGAAGTCAAAAGTCCTAAATTCAAGAATCCAGTAGCTTGCCCTTTCCAGTTTCCATAGACTGCCTGTGTAGCACAAATTCTCATTGATATTAATAATAAAAACACAGAGAAAGATATTGGGGTTACAGCTAAAGATCACAAAAGCAAATCGGCCAGCCACCAGAGAGCTCTCATCTCTATCAATGCTCAGACCAAAGGGTGATCCTGTCCTCAGATTTCATCTCCAGGCAGCACTGCTCCTCACACTGCACTGAGCTCCTGTCTCCTCCTGCCTTATATTCCTCTCTAGTGCTGGGATTAAAGGTGTGGGATCCCAGGTGTTGAGATCGCCTTTGTGTGAGCTGTTTCTCTTTTAGACTGGATCAATTTCCTGTATCCTAGGGTGGCTTTGGAGTAACAGTGATCCATCGGCCTCTGTCTCCCAAGTGCTGGGATTAAAGGTGTGTACCACCACCACCTGGCCTTTATGGCTAACTAGTGTGGCTAGCTTTGTACTCTGATCTTCAGGCAAGCTTTATTTGTTAGATTATAAGCAAAATACCACCACATGCCTGCATTCCTTTGATCTATATTAAAGGCTAACTGGGCAGTATCTTCAAATCTCTGTGACCTCTATCTCTCTCATACGCCCTTTCCAACTCTGATGCTCTTGTCCCAGCCCAGGGGTGGGGGCAATTCGGGGCATCTGATGTACTTAACTGAACCATTATCTGCAAACTCCTTTCTGTCACATTACAGAACATATTAGCAGATTATGGAGATGGGGGATTGTCAGTGTGGGGAATGTTATTCTGCAAAACACAGTTCACAGTTAGAATTGAGCATTACCTGTGGGCAGTTTCTTAATGTTTAACCCTAGGATTTGCTTAGTAACCCATACTTATTTACAGTCTCTACCGTAGCCATCGGTCGGGAGTGCCATTCCCGTTTAGTAACTCTCACACCTGCATCTTTTCTTTCCATCTTGATAGACAACGTCACTACCACCTATGTCAGCACCCACACTAGAATCCTGGCCTACTTATCAATCCCCCACTCCGAGATGGCCTCCATGTTTACATTCCCATCCCAGTGCCTTGGCGGTTCTGATCGCTTCTCTGGGGCACTACAATGCTCTTCCCTGGGCGAGGAGCCCTTGATGTTTCCGTTCATTTCCACTTCCCATTTAAGACGTCTTTGCATGGATATCGTCTTCTGTCTTCAAATCCTTCGCACCCAGATAAGTCCCTAACTTCCAAGGGAGACAGACAAGACGACTCTCTAGTTTCAACCGGGCTCAGACTTGCAACCCGATTTCTGTGGCGTCCAGGTGCGCAGTCCCCGCTCCACAGTTTCTTCTCTATGTGAAAAGACGAAGTGTAACGGGGCTTTACACTTCACATTCAGTAGTCCTGGAAGGTGGAGTGGTGAGCGGTTACGTCCAGGCTAGTGCCAGGGCCTTGAAATCAAAAGTCCGAAGGAAGCCAGGCTCCCCCCCTCTCCCCCCTCCCCCCGGGCAGCCTTGCTCGCACTATTTCGTCTTCAATTCACACCTTCCCATTGAAGGCGGGCAGGTCGGGGTTTTACTTTTCACGCTTACAGAACAGGGAAACCGAATCACGAGACTCCAGGCGTGGCCTTCATCGCACCTCCGTGCTGTTGAACGGCTTGCTTGGCTCCTTCTCTCTCCTGGCGGAACTTCCTTGCTCGCCCTCCGCCGCCCGCCCAGCGGGGAGCAGGCCTCAAGCTTTCTCTTACAAGCGCTCCGGCTCTTCCCCATACGCAGTGACGCAACCGATGACGCTATTGAGTGACGTGCGAT